CCCTATAACTGCCACTCTTGAGTCTTGTATTTCTCTTAGAGCCACATGAAACACATTTAATTCTTCTTCTTCATAATAGTTTTTTAAACTTTAAAGGATTTTTAAAAATTGATTTTAGAGGCAGGGAGGGAGGGAGAGAAATATCAATATGAGAAACGTTGATCATTTACCTCCTGCATGCGCCCCAAATCCACAACCTGGTTACGTGCTCTGATCAGGAATTGATCCTCTGACCTTTTGGTTTAGGGGAGGAAGCTCCAACCAACTGAGTTACACTGGTCAGGGCTAGTTTTTTAAACTTTAGAAGAGAATACTCATGTTTCTTGCCCAACTCTTCAGCTTCAGGTTAAAACTTCAGTTTTCCAATTATTGAACAAATGGCACATTTCAAGTCCCTCTCCTCTAGAGCAGGTACACTTAACTGTGCACGCCCCCTTCATTGTACCTGAACAAATTCCCTATGTGTGTTCTTACAGTGGGACTATCACCTTCTTTGCCATAAATAGTGTGCTTCTTTAGTCCAGTCTGCTGAGATCTTTATGGATACTGGACTGTAGAAAAAATATATATGCTTTCCTTCTCAGCTTCAAATTACCAGCAGGTCAAAAGATAAAAAAGAATGCTGCTCTTAAAATTTGAGTTTTAAGCATTCAAGCAATGGTTAAAACAGTCAGATACTAGATAAGATGGCTGTTGAAATACATCCCAAAGATGCTAAAGCTCAGGATTAAGGACAGATCTATACATTCCAAAGTCAAGTCCTTCTCTATCATGGGGATTTGTGGATGCAGGGTGCTGGTAAAGGAGGCTTGTGAGGCAAAAGTGAGGTTAAGCTTAATAAGAACCTAGAGCTGCCACACCTCAGCACCATTGCTAGCCCTTTATCAAATATAGTAATAACCAGAATTTTCCATGAGAATCTTACCATGTTCTAGTCCATTTCTCCAGAAGTCACTAAAATGTTTCACTATAAACCATATTCGCAATCCTGGAAAGAAATTTAGGTTTGAAGAAGACTATAAGTATCTAATTATACTCTAAATTCCTCCCAAATAATGCAAAATAACATAATCAACAGGACATTATATTCACTTCTTAATCCATTCAGGATAATAGTAACAACCTCTCAGAGTCCATGCATGAGTGTCTTGGAAAACACACTACCAATCACAATCTACATGAAGTCCATGACTGGACAATCTGTGATCAACAGTGTTCATTGGATGTATGAGTGGTGCTTTGGTTGCTTTACCAGAACTGGGGTTGATAGTCACAAACTATATTTTAGGAAAGCATAAATCTCAAACTCATTTTTAACACTTAGCCAAGGCATCTATTAGGCAATACTGACATTAAAAAAATGTTTGACTATTCTTAGTAAGGAAAACTAAGTGAATAGAAGATGTAAAGCAAACTATTTTTGACTGGAAGTAAAATCAAAGATCAAGGTGCTACAACAAAGAGGATATAGAGAGGAAATGCAAGAATACAAGTGAAAGGTGTTTTTAGAAACCTTCTGAGGCAAACTAGTTCTCTTTTGGCCTGGCTGGTTGGCTCAGTGGTTGAGTATTGACCCATGAGCCAGGAGGTCATGGTTCGATTCCCAGTGAGGACACATGACAGAGTTGCAGGCTCGATCCCAAGTAGGGGGTGTGTAGAGGCAGCTGATCAATGATTCCCTCTCATCACTGATGTTTCTATCTCTCTCTTCCTCTCCCTTCCTTTCTCTGATTATCAATAAAAACATATTAAAAAATAAAGTAGTTCTCTTTTGGCCATAAATTGGAATGTAATTAATTCCTAGAAAACAAGATAAGCACTAGGTATACATAAATGCTTATTAATTAAATCATTTTTTCTAAGAGGCAAACTAAAAATATTATATTTTTCTCAGTAAGAAAAGAGAATAACAGCATGAAGACATTGGTTATATCTCAGAAAAATAAATGGCTTTATAGCAACATTATCTTTACTGTTATTATTAATAATAATTAATAAAACAAATAATAACAGCACTTAACATTTATTACTTAATATGTGCCAGGCACTGTACTAAGCATTTTATATGCAGTCTCATTTAATCCTCATAACAACTCTCAGAGGAAATGCTATGCATAGTGAGTTTCATAGTTTGGGTGCTCTGTCTAGGGCAGTGGTCGGCAAACTCATTAGTCAACAGAGCAAAATATCAACAGTACAACAATTGAAATTTCTTTTGAGAGCCAAATTTTTTAAACTTAAACCATATAGGTAGGTACATTGTTATTAACTTAATTAGGGTACTCCTAAGGCTTAGGAAGAGCCACACTCAAGGGGCTAAAGAGCCGCATGTGGCTCACGAGCCGCAGTTTGCCGACCACAGGTCTAGGGTCACAACAACCCTATGAGATAGGTACTATTTTTATCCCCACTTACAGATGAGGAAATTGAGGCAGCAGTTAAAGAAGTTGCTCAAGGACACAAAACCAGGAATGCAGGGCTGGGATTCCAATGCAGGCAGCATAGCTCCACAGTCCAGTATCACCTCTCTAGGGATCTAGTGATCGAGGGAAATATAAACTAAAAGAGGACATAATTTGTTGTCCAAACTGGCCCCAAAATTTTAAAAACCAACATAGTCAATGTGGTAGGAGAATATAATGACAATTAAAAAAAACTTCTTACAGAAATAGACACTCTAAAAGAAAGTTCAGAAAAAATTTACTCAATAAAAGGTTGACAACAGTCAGGTAGTTTCTTAATAAAAAAAAATTTATTTTCCCTGAAGGTAGTATCAAATCCTAGAACTCCTTTCCTTCTCTCTCTCTCTCTCCTTTTGTTAATCCTCACCGGAGGATATACTTTTTCTATTGATTTTTTAGAAGAGCGGAAGTGAGGGAGGAGGAGACAGAGAGGCACACACACATCGATGTGATGTGTCTTTCTTTCTCACACCAATTGGTTGTCTCCTGAATTTGCCCTGACCAGGGTGGGGGACCAGATGGCAATCAGGTACACACCCTTGACTGGGAATCAAACCAGAGACCCCTCAGTGTGAGGGGGGCCAATGCTCCAACCACTGAACAACACCGACCAGGGCTCCTTTTCTCTATTAATTCTCCGATGCCAAGAAAAGCTACCAGAGGATGAGCATTCCATTGCTCCCATGCTAACTTTTTTTAGTGTGGCTGCTCCCCTTATAATGTAATCAACCTATAGCAAATGCCTTGAAGATGTGTTTCTTGACCCACTAATGTCATTACTGACTTGGTTAATTCACCTTCCCTTCTATTGGGATGACAGAGGTTCTGCTTTCTGCTGTTTTCCATATTTGTCCCTTAGCTTCTGTCTCAACAGGTCCAAGAACCAAGACTGAAGGTGAAAAGCTCAAACTTTCCCTTTCTGCTCTGTTCAAAAGCTATTAACAAGACCCCTCCTTGTTTTCAGCAATATGTTAATATCACAATTCTCCATAGTCTCTGGCTTACTGTCTACAGTATACATGTTAAGTAACAATATAAATTACTTAAGGGAAAAACAAAATCCATGTCATAGCTTTTCTAACACTTCAGCCATCCTATTCTACTTACAGGTGCCATTATGAAGAGAAACATGGTAAGTACACGGAGCTATATAAAACTACTGAAATGGCAGTACGCAAAGGTGACGACTTCCGTTTTTGTGTGTGTGTTTTGTGTGTGTGTGTGTGTGTGTGTGTGTTTTTAAACAAGCACAGCAGATTTGCTTTCCATTTGGAAAATTTCATTTATACATTCAAAATGTCTGGTAACTTTTTTGCATTTGTGTGCTAAAATTTACTAACAACTTGGTTTCTGATTGTGATAAAGCCATTAAAATTTGCAGGGTTGAAATGGGCATTGTGAAAACACATGGCTCAGAAAACAGTGGCTTCCTAAACCTCAGGGGAGGAGCCCTAAAGTGGTGACCACGTTTTCACTGAGAGAGGAATTTAAGAATGTTCCATATTGTATGCATACGTGGTAAGAAGAGATTAAGGTCAGCAGGAAAATATAAAATTGGACTGTACAAGACTGCATATTTTTCACCTGTATTACATGGTTACAGACTTAACACTCCATTAAAACACAAAGCTTTCTCCCTGCATTAAGGAGAGGTTGCACAAGCGGTGCCGCAACAGGCCCGAGGCAATGATTTCCATACCCGACTACGGTATATCCTACTGTGTGCCCAGCGTAATCAAGTAATTGCTGGACAGCTCCACCTTGTCTACCCGAGCGAAGACACCTCCGCCAGGAGTCCCAGTGCAAAACCAAAACACTTCAAGGCATCTCACGCACAAGCCCATGGCTCTCATTTTGTTGGAAAGAAAGCTGAGGAGCTGAGGGAGAAGCAGCACAGTCCAACGCCTCAAAGGCCAAGACAGAGTTAAGATGAGGGTGATGCGGGACCTCTCTTCCCCCCTTCCTCTGCTCCAGCCCCGCGGAGCCACAAGTGAGGAAGAGAAGTTGTGGAAACAAGACGGGGTGGTGTGGGAGGGGGGAACCCAGGAGAGTTTAACACAAGCGTTTGCATTTGTCCCACACAAGGACCGTCGCTCCAAGTCACTTTCCCCTGCTCCCCCGAGGGGCTTCCCGCCAAAGAGGCTACTCCTGGGCTTCCAGGCCAACCCACCGCGCCCGCTGGGCCCTTCCCGGGGAGCCGCAGCCCCTTCGCGGCCTCTGGGCGCGGGCTGGAGCGCGGACCCAAGCCGGCCTCCCGACACCCGTTCCCGGCGTCCGGCGCCTTTCCCAGCCCAATTCCAGGGCGCCTTCGCCTCCAGCCCGGCGGGGCTCCAGTCAACGTCCCTGTCCTCTCTCAGGACGCCCCCTTCCCCACCTCCAGCGCCCGGTCCGTCGGGGGCGCGGGAAGCCTTTCCTTTCCTCTCCCCCGCCTCCACTCTCGTGGTGCCCACCTGGCGCGGCCCCCTTCCCTGGCCCGTCTCCTCAGCGAGCGGCCGCCTCCCAAGTCCTCCCGACCCCGCCCCGCTCCCGGGCGGATACAGTTTGAAGCCCCTCAGGATCTCCCGGGCACGCTCGTCCTTGGCTGACATGATGCGGCAGTTGCCGCCCGCGGCTCTCCCACGCTGGCCCGGCGGAGCCTCGCAGACGGTGCCCCGGAGCCGAGGACTGAGCCGCAGCCCCGCCTGGAGACCTCCGGCGAGCAGAGGCGGCTGCCAGACCTGGACCGGCCTCTCCCTCCCCTCAGCTCCCGCTCCTGATCCCTTCTCCTTCCCCCAGCCTTGGAGTGCCCGCCCAAGAGCCAATAGAAAGCCCGACTTGGAGATTGGCATCATGCTCATCCAATAGAAACACGTAGCGGCTTTGCGGGGGGTGGGGGGTTGAAGAGCGTCGATGGGAAGGGCCCTCCCCGGGAAGTCCCGTAGGGCAAATTTTTCATTCGTTCTTGTTGCCTAGAGTTTTCTCCCCGGAGGTTTGGCTTCAGATCTGCAGAGGCTCGAAGGGCTCGCTCCCGCCTCTGGGTGCTGAGATGACGGCAGGCTGCACTGTGTGATGAGCCAAAGACTACATTTCCCAGCATTCCAGGGGCGCACAGGGGAACCATAGGTCCCGGCACGCAAAGAGGCCCAGGGACTACAAATCCCAGCATTCCATAAACCCTATTCCCCTGTAACTTAGACTTCAGTGTGCCGCGCAGTGTGCGCAAATTCATAAACCCTCTCTCAGGTTTGGTGGTTTTTGAATCTGGAGAGTTGGGACCAGGCGGGAAGACCCTCTTCACTCTAAAAGAAGATGACAGCCCACAGAGAGGTAACTTCTGTTTACATGGAACTCAGAAATCTCCTGCAAATCATGGTAAGGCTGCAAACAAACAAAAACACTGATTAAACCGTGAAAGATAACGTAACAAAATAACTCCTTAAAATCATGTTGGTTTTATGGTCTGGAGCGCCTTTTACGTGTTTTGCGGGGGTTTCTATTGTGTTCCTGCCTTGGACTGGGAGAGAGTGATTGTATACCCAGAATATAAATACAGGAAAGGACTTTAGAGAATTTGCTAATCCGACCCCTGTTGTTTTACAAATGAGGAAACCGAGGCCCACCGAAGCGAAGAGATTGTCCACCGGTCACAGCAAGTTGAGGTAGAGTTAGAATTAGGCCCTAAGTCTCCTGACCCCGCTGTCTGAGCTTTTTGCACACCAGGCTGGCGATATTTTTAGCAGCATGGCTATGTGATTGTTATTCTTCTTGGTGAAATTTCCTCACACAGGTTGAAACCACCCAGAGGTTAGGTAAGCATTTATTTGGTGGATTTCCTGTAAGTGTGATGTTTGTTCATCTTCACTCTAGGTAGGACTTGGTGTTTTGATTCATTCTTTGTTGCTCAAGGTGACATTTAATGAGATTTCAGGAATAGTTGTAGTGTAAGTTAAGGTTTCCTTGGAGATTTATTTCTTTTTCTAGGCCTTCCTCTTTTTGTTCCCCTTTAACCCATGTGGGCACCCACCCAATTTTTCCTTCCATGTAATTCAACAAACAGTTTTCTCAGCTTTCCTTATTTGCCAGGCCCTCTGTCAGTAAAAGGTGAAAGACACGGTTACTGCCACAGGAAGATAATAACCTAGTTAGGGAAATGAGGAGACTCCACTGAGATTTGAGATGGAGCATGATAAATGGCATAAAAGAAAGGACATCAGAATGCTACAGAGGCTGTCATGAAGAGATGTATTCTAGCTGGCAAAACTTGATAGAGGAGGTGGCATTTGAATGTGAAGGATAAGTAGACTCTTTTTTTCCTTGGTTAAAAAATTTTCTTTAGATTTTTAACATTCAGTAAGGGCACAGTTTTTGCATATGTGTACACCTGTGTCACCACCCCCCAAATCAAGGTATAGAATTATTCCAGGACCCGCTGTGCCCCTTTATAGTCAGTAGTGCATCTTCCCATCCCAATAACCACTCTTCTGACTTCTATTACCATAGATCAGTTTTATCTGTTCTTGAGTTTCATTTAAATGTAATTATACAGTATGTACAATATGAATGTCTTCTTTCATTCATCAATATTTTTGTGACATCTGTATGTAGCAGTAGCTTTTTAAAAAAAAATTGCTGAATAGTATTCCATTGTATGCATATAGCACTGTTGATGGACATTTAGGTTATTAGTTATCAACTTTTGGCTTTTATTAACAAAGCTGAAATGAGCAATCTTTATTATAATTTTTTAATTGATTGAATTTTTTAGAAAGAGCAAGAGAGAAAGATCAATTGATTTGTTCTTCCACTTATTTATGCAATCATTGGTTGATTCTTTTTTAAAAAAATTGATTTTAGCCCTAGCTGGTTTGGCTCAGTGGATAGAGCATCAGCCTATGGACTGAAGGGTCCCGGGTTCAATTCCGGTCAAGGGCACATGCTCAAGTTGCAGGCTCGATCCCCAGTAGGGAATGTGCAGGAAGCAGCCAATCAATGATTCTCTCTCATCATTGATGTTTCTATCTCTCTCTTCTTTTCTGAAATCAATTAAAAAATTGATTTTTAGAGAGAGAGGAAGGGAGAGAGAGAAATATTAATTTGTTGTTCCACCATTCACAAATTCATTGGTTGATTCTTGTATATGCCCTGACTGGGGATCGAACCCAAAGCCTTGGCATATCGGGTCAACGCTCTAACCAACTGAGCTACTGGGGCAGGAGTTGCAATGAGCATTCTTATGTTTCTTTTTGTGGACTCGTGTATTCATTTACAGGAGAGGAGTTGCTGGCTATGTTGGTCAGCAGTAGTAGATATTGCCAGTTATGCAAGTGTTTGTAGCAGTTTTCACCTTCACCGGCAATGTAAGAGTTCTAGTTCACTTTTAACCTTGTCAATACTGGGTGCTGCCAGTCTTTTATTTTTAGCCATTTTGGTTAAATGTGGCATCTCATAACATAGTTCTTACTTACAATGTCTCTGGTGTTGAGGGCCTTTCCATGTGCTTATTGGCTATTTGGATGTCTTTTGTGAAATACTTGTTCAAATCTTTTTATTTATTTATTTATTTATTTTTACTGGGCTGTTTGCCTTCTTTTTTTTATTGTTTGTCTTCTTATTGATTTATAGTTCTTTTTATAGCCTGGATATGGAATTATATATGCTTGCAAATATGTTTTCCAAGTTTGTAGCGTGTCCTTTCACTCTCCTTACTGGTGTATTTTGATACACAGAAATTCTTAATTCTAGTGCAATAGTTGTGTTTTCTTTTACAATTAATGCTTTTTACATAAAGTTTAAGAAATCTTTGTGTACAGGGTTGGTAGGATTTTATTTTAAAAACTTTTTTTTTTAACCAGGATTTCTTTTATTAAGTACAATATGAAAGGATTCACAGGTGCTGGACAAAGATCATGGCCAGGAATGTGGAGTCCACATTGGGCCCTCTTCAGTGGTGCTCTTCAGTCACAGCTCATGTTTGAGTTCCTTATACGAATGGCAGTAGTTAAAACACACAGAAACTGCCAGCACCATAGAAACCCCATCGATGCTCCCTTTCTTGACATTGGTATACTTGTTGTAATACCAGTAGAAACCTCTTTGAAATGCTTCAGCAGTGCCTTTAGGGGTGAAATCCCGCATCAGTATTCAGCTTGGCAGCTCCCATTTTGACATCCATGAGTTTCTCCTCCTTCAGTGGTACTAGTGACATCATCTTGGAGTTCAGGGTATTGTTGGTGGGATTTTAGCAGGGAATTATGAGGGGAGAGATTTGCAAAGAAGATAGAGATAGCTCGAGGCCCTGCTGTGAGTGAGGGTGTAGTTTGTGGTGGGCAAGGCAAGGCCTGGAGTTTGGGCTGTAAAGAGGGTGAGGCACGACAAAGATGGGAGGGTAGGCAGGAGGCATAGTGCAAAGGCTTTAGCTGCAGTCTTGGAGTCTGCACATTGTTCTGGAGGAAGTGGAGGCACTGCTGGAATATTGATGGTAGCGCATATGGTCTAAATGTCTCTAACAACATCCCTTCTTTTACATGCCCAATTGCCACTACCTTTCTTCAAGATCTCACAGTCTCCTATCTGGAATACATCAAGTCACTCAAGGGTTTCCCTGCTCCAGTTCTCTCCACATCCAATCCATTCCTAGAGCAGCTAGTGTGATCATTCTAAATGGCAATTATTCATAGCGCTCCACAGCTTAAAACCCTAAGCTAGCCCTCCAAGTGCCCTTAAGAGCATATAAAACCTCTTTTATATGGTTTTCACCCTTTGTGATTTGCTTGCTTTTTCTTCCAGGCTCAACTCAAGCCTCATCTTCCCCAGAAGTGTGCCTTAGATCTCTTCTCCCCAAGGAGAGCCTTGCCTGTATTCCTAGGTGCCTGTGGCAACCATCTATCATAGTCAGATAGGCCTGTCTCTTCCAGGGGACAGTAAACTCTCATAGGTAGATACTTTGCTGTATTTAGGTATTTACTGGGTATGGTGCCAGGCCTGTGGTTTCCAAGACCCTGGATGACCTGATTCCAGCTCTGTTTTCCTAATTTCTGAAACCTTGGTTCCAGCTATTATGGATTTCTTTTCTGCATCAATATATGTTGCACAGTGCAAGCCTGTAACTGTGATCACTGCCCCCTTTTCTTCCCATTTTTGCCTTGAAGATGCCTGTTTTTTTTTTTCTTCCTCCTCAACATACTCTCCTGTGCTTCCAAAGTGTTGTCTCTCATAGCACTTAACACATTGAAGCTTTTGAGGGCAAGAACCTTGTTTTTTCTTCATGTAACATTCTAGAAAATAATAGGTGCTAAAGACATTTTTTGAATACATGAATGGGTTGGTGTTAGGCTCCTTCACATCTGTCCTGATTTCTGCACTCTATAAAGCACAAAGGGCAAATAGAGGTCTTTTCTTCATCTTCAAGACCTGAAAGTTGGAGAGTCCTCTTTGGGGTACACTACTTGAATCTCCTTTTCGAATGAATTTTCTTTCTCCTAAGCTCTAAGGCTCCCCACAAGATTTGCAACCAGTGGAGCAATGGGCAGTAGCATTGCTGTCTCCAAGGCCCCATGTTTTTCTGACTTTTCAGTGAGCTGACAGCAGCCCCGGCTTGGTTCACCTCTTTCCCATAACATTTCTAGAGAGCCAGAGCAGGCCCACATAGGCTCTCTCCTGTTGTTTCTTTTATCGTAGGCCCTTCCTTGTTTCACTGTTCCCAGCTTTAATAAACATATTCTCAAAAAAAAAAAAAAAAAAAAGACCTGAAAGCCTGTGGTGTATACTGTACCTTAAAAGAATCAGCCTAAGTATTCAG